TATATATATATATATATACATGTTCGTAATATTGAAACATATGAGGAAACTTGATTAATTCGTATCATGGCCGTACTAAGCGTACTACTATCTCAATACTAGTGAAAGACTCAAATAGTCGTTCACCATGATTTGAATAATTTTCGATTGTTAAAAATATTACACATAGGTGAAAGATACAAAAAATAGCGGAAAACTGTGATGCTGTGAAAGTGTGATGCTATGATTCATAAAAGTATCACATAAATTAATTATAAATTCAAGATATTTTTTCTAACCAGAACAATTTTCCGTATTCGATATAAATTAATAATTTCCTTTAATCAAACAAGCACTACAATTTCATGAACCATAAAAGGTATGCCTACTTCAGAGAATAATTGAAGCAGAGCACAGAGAAAAAAAATTGGTAAAATTATCGTTCTGTATGGTAATGACTTTTTTGATTAGAAAAGAACAAATATAAAAAATAATAAAACTTTAAAATATTATATTTAAACCATTTATTTGGTTATTTTCTATTCATTTATTATTATAGTATACTAGTAATTCTGGTTTTCAAAATTACAGTTCTTATTACTACACATTTAGGAAAAAATACTGAACTGAAAATAAAATTTAAAAAAATTAATTATTTTTCATCCCATACTGTCATTATGATAAAATAACTAAATTTTGCCACATTTACCAAATTTAGACATGTTTTAGAAAACGATATTGTACTGCTAATTTTAACAAAATTATTACCGAAACTCTTAAAACTATACAGAGATTTCTATATCAGAAACACTGTAAATTTAACCATATTCTGGTAGTTCTGACAACACTATTTTCCCGGTGCAATGGGAATATAAACAACATGAATATTATCGTAACTCGACCTACAGCTGCATCTCCGGAGCTCATAATATGGTCAAGAGGTTAAGTTAATAGTTTATAGGAGGGTGCAAAATATAAATAATTCTGTTTGTTGCATATTAAAGATATTTACTAAAATAAATCAAGCAAAATATACAATTTACAATATTTATTTCACAACATAGTATACTTAAAGACCTTATACGAATAAATACCACAGCATATGAATTACCACATTCCTTTCATTCCAACTCCCATGCCTAATCCGAGACCATTTCCATAACCCAAACCAGCACCATATCCGAGTCCAAGACCAGCATGTCCAATAACTCCCCCGTAAGCTACTGGAGCGGCAGCAATCATTGGAGCGGCAATACCATGTCCCATCATGGGTGCAACATGAGCGATGGGTGCAGCGTGTGCGATATCAGCAGGAGCAGCGTATGGACTAGCGATGACAGCAGCGGCTGGTGCACTGTGAGCGGTACCAGGTTCGTTGGTCTTGACAACAGCTCTGAATCCATGTCCATCGGCAACGTATTCAACCTTTCTTGCTCGTCCATCGATGTCAGCGAGAGTGTAGGATCCCTTCTTGTTTCCATGAGCATCTCCTACTTCAGATCTGGAGTTGGTGGCTCCTTTCCCGTCCTTGATGTCATATTCGAAAGCATAGTTTCCATGTTTCTAGAAGAGAAATTTTATGTTAAATACATAGGCGCAATTAATGCTTTGCAAAACAATATATTGATAAAAAAGAAGGCAGACAGTAGAAATACTTTTAAGTATAATTAAAGATTTTAATAATAAAATGCTTTTTAAAAAAATTTTCCTATTTCATTCAGATAGAAAAATTATTTTAATAATGTGAAGTTTATTTTATTAAACTATATTAAATAAAAGAAAATATAAAATTATGTAAAAGTGAACAAAAAATTCTGTACGATCCTTTTATTTTATTATTACATTTCATTTTTACATTATCACTTTTTACTATATTTTTACGATTGCTACTATTACTGCTAGATTTTCATTTTACTAATTTATATGTTTTGATAAACTATTACGAATTTGTATTTAGTCTGAGTGCAGAATTTTGATTAATAAAGCAAAATCGAGTAAATCTTTAAAAAAAATTGTCAAGGTAGTAAAGTATGTCAATCAATCAAAATATCGTAAGTTTTTACAAAATATAAATATCTGCAATCGCGTTGCTAAGGTTTCTGTATGCATAGCATTGCTATGCCTAAAGAACTCTTTAAATACAACCTTCACAAATTGTAATATCATAGAAGTAGAGAAGTGAATATGAAAACAGCAAGTGTTAATGTATAGAAGCCTAAGATTGAATCCTTTATTTGAAAGCAGCAATAAATTATTATGTACATATTTTTTTTCAATTTTGCGAAAAAAAAGTAATTACTAAACTCACATCTTGTACTTGAGAGCGAGCACTCACTCCAGTGTTAATCAAATGAACTGGAGCCAATAGACTGGCGTTGGCAACACCTAGAACTAAACAAAAAGCAGCTACCTAAAGAAAAGTAAACATATGTTAATGTAATATATAGTATGAATAAAAATAGATCAGTTTGTACTTATTTATTACTCAGTAATAAGATGATTGAGAAACAATAACAAATTGGGTTTCTGGCATCCCTTGTATTTTCTAAGTAAAATTAATCAACATATCAAGTATGATTGAATAATATACTTTTTTAATTAGTTTGAGGGAAAAAAATATAAAGTTTGATACAGTCAACAATGAAAATTTTATATTTTTAATTGTCTCGAAGAGTTAATCAAAAATCTCTTTTTTTTTATAAAGAAAAAGAAGAAAAAAAGAAGAAAAAGACATTAGTTTTAATCAGTTATATTTAAAATTTCTTTTCTGATGAAAAAGGACTAAAATGATTTAAAAAAATTTGCTTTGCATATTGCTGTGTCCCGTTTTATCTCTCTAGTATTATAAACTTTCTAAAATAACAGAAAATTTAACATTGCTGTTTGGCTAAACTTTATCGTAAATCACTTTTTTAATAAAACCAAGTATTTAAAGATATTTCACTAAGACTCATCCGAAATACGAATTCTGGAATTCATAACTAAACGGTCATTTTTTTTTTCAAAAAAAAGAAGGCGTATTGTAGAGTTAATGACTTAAAAAAAATTCTTGTTTTTCTGTAAAGTACGTTGTTAGTCAAAATATTTGACTGCTTAAAAAAATATCTTAAGACTTGCACAGTCATTATTCAAAAAAAAGCACATTATTCATTGGTTCTAAGGAATGCAAAGCGTCATATTTTGTTGGTATAAGAGATTAGAATTCTTTCTTGTTGACTTTAAAAGAAGAACTCTGTAGTTTTTCTAAAAGAACATTGTTAGTTAGTGTGTCTAACTACTGAAGAAATAATTTTAATCTTACACAGTGACTATTTAAAAAAGAACAGATCAAGCCTCAACATTCACAGGTTTTAAGATAGCCAAACTCTCATATTTCCTTTGTATAAAATATTAGCGTACTTTATTATTAACTTCAAGAAAAAACTTTTGAAGTTAAACTTTTAAAAGAAGATTACTAGTTAATATATTGTGATGCTTAATGAAATATTTTTAAACTTTCACAACCATTATTTTTTAACAATAAATCAAGTACAATATTTATAGATTCTAAGAAAAGCAAGTTCTCATATTTTGTTTGCATAAAATGTCAATATATTTTTAAAAAAATAAAACATGCCAGCAGCAGTCATTTATTATCCAATGGCTTCATGGAGGATAAGGTTACCAAAAAACCGCAATCAGTGGCATGGTTATGACAATTTGTTCAGCATTACACGCTCTCCGTTTTACTTTCCCTACTGACTAGTACCCATCAATCTGACTTTAGGTCACAAAACTAAGTAAGATAAACTTGACCTTCTAGCTCTTGAAGTTTGACTTTTAACATTAACTTTTATTGCGATTTGACAAAAACTGCTCATTGCCTTAACCTATGTGCCGTTGCAACTTAGTTTAATAGTAATAAAATCAAGATTATAAAACCCACCGAAAATGCCGCCATGATTTGCGTGCAAATTGGAAACTCTTTTTATCGTTACTTTTATTTTTTAGAGATTTTATATTAAATCAATTTACACTAAGAAAATAATTCTAGTAACATTGCCGTACTAAATAGTAATGATATTTCTGGTAAAATAAACCCAAAATTCTGGCTAATAAATTTAAAATATAAGATACTCAAACCATTCCTTTTATGATTTGAAAATCTTATTACTATACAAAAAGGAAAATAAATATCTGACCAAATAAATGGTATTTATTCCACTCTCAAGGATACATGATAAAATTACCAAATTGTATTACAAAACCAGATTTTATGATTAATTTTATTAAACTCATTACCATAGACTTCCTGTAAAAATTACCGAGCTATTTGGTCTTCCCATACGGTCAGAAAGACGGAAATTTTACCAATTTTTGTCAGTTTTGTCAGTAATTTTTATTTATTCTCAGTGCAGAAAGAATGATATTTTTATATTAAAATTCTTCTGTTCAAATATTAGTTTATAAAATATGTACTATTAAATACGCATCTGTTATAGTGATTCTTAATGTAAAATAAATTATCCCTAGTTTTTGCGTGTGATATACATTTGTTAAACCTCAGTTTTAATAGTAACAAGCAACCTAAATCTTTTTTTAACAATTTTTACTGACAGAATAACTAAATTCCAATAACTTCACGTGGTTTTAAATTTATCCAAAGATTGCTACTTTCGTTATAGTTTAAATGAGAAAAAAGTGAAGACTAAGAAAAAGCTATAGTAATTATAAAACAGTAAAACTCTTACCTTTGAGAACATGTTTACACAGGAATCAGTCTGATACTACGAATGGGGTATTTTTCCTAAGCTTATATACTTAGTGAGAAAAGCAAACAAAAACAACTCTTGAAGGCCTACATATGCCAACATAAACAAATTTCCCATATTTCTCCATGAAATTTAATAAAAAAAATTCTCCAATAATCAGTGATTGACATTGGAGAAATTCATATTTAAATTAGATAATAATCTACTCTCGCCACCATTCGAGGAAACAGAGCAAACTTCAAGTCCTTGGCGAATGTCGCTAACTAATTCGAAATCAATTAAGTAGTTAAGAATGGATTTAATTATCGTAGAAGTGTGATGATTTATCTGAAAAAATTAAATGAAATGGAATATTCGGTTATTTGTATTTCCTTATTTTTTTAATACTTTTTTAAAAATTAATTTAAACTTTTATTTATGCTCTTAATAAAAATTATCAAATAAACATTTACAGTAAAACCCAAAATACCTATCAAAGATAAAATGTTTAAAATGACAGGTTAACAACGTGATTTACTTGTAAAATAGGTCAAATTCATTTAGTGCTTCTCATTTTGTATTCATATTTTTATTTGACTCGTTAATTAAAATACGCCTGTGACTAAACTTTAATACTTCTGAGTAAAAGGTTTTTAAATAGAATATAGAAGTTGCGAATAACCAAAAATTATAATGACAATTGTAAAATAATAAAATAAAGAGTTGCTAAACTTCCTATAAAATAACATATTTTCTTAAGTTTGAAGACAAAAAAATAGCTCTTAAGACTCAATATTTTATTTCGAAATCTAAATGAGTGGCAAATGCGGAATGTAGAAAAATATATTTCAATTCCAGTAATAAATGGTTCTTTTTAAAGGAATTTTCAAAAAGGCAACTCACAGAAACTGATTTTTTATGCATTCATTACTACTTATATGAAACTTAAATATACCCAATTTAATGTTTTATTATTTATTATTATTTCCCTTTTTTTGCGTAAACACGCTAATTTTTTATAATTTGTGATTTATTAATTGATCATAATTTTAAAAAAAAAAACCTTCATAAACGTGAACAAACCCATCTAAGGATTGAAAAATAAATAAATATTTCATGGTTCTTTACAACTCCTGTCCTTATAAACATCAACAAAAGTTCTTCACGAGTCATTGACCACTATCTTGATAGAGGAATTTAAGAAATAAATCTGCAGCACATTCTTCATATCTACTACCCCAACGAAATAATATAAAAATAATTACTGTACAAATTCAACTTAATCTAGCATAAATGTAGCAGAGATTGCAAATATGTGTTAAAAAAACAGGTCATTCTAGTTTTATTTGAAATGTATACAATGTTATTTTTTAAAAAAAACGTGGGAAAGATCCTTTTTACAATAAAAACTTGTAATCAAACAACAGAAAAATAATTGTTTACTACCCATTTCAGTTGCGAGCTTTCAAACCAGTTTTATAATTTTGATAGGAAGTAAGTTTCGAGATGGTTTGAGGAAAAAAATCTCATCAATCTTTTCCCAATATTTTTTTTTTTCAATTTTGAGATTAAAAATAATAATTTGCAGATACTGTCATAATTGAAAGTAATAATATTATTGAGTAATTTTTTGAAAAGGATATGCTTGGACGTTTGAGTGGCAAGTACATATTTTTTTTCAAAATGTTTTAAAAATGATCTCAACTGTAAAATAGCGTTGCATTTTTTTCTCTCCATAAAATCAATACAAGAATCAAGAAACTTAATTTAAAAATTAGTTAATAATAAACATTTAGTAGTTTTGTTTTATAAATTTATAATTATTAGCAAAACAACATCATGTTTTTGTTATAAAATAATCTGCCATGTATTAATAAATTTTAATTTCTACGAAAAAATTGTACCTTTTTTTTGGCGTAATGAAAAGACGGATCCATGAATAAAATTTAGCGTCTATAAAAATGATCCCAACTGACAAGGGGCGCGCTCAAATGATCAGAAAGTCGGGTCCACAATCGTGGTTGCCGGGAGAAAAGTGTTGCACCAAGCAGACTCCTCAATTCTGCTTTTAACATGTAAAGTCTATGGCGGGCTTGTCATACTTTGAATCGATTTTTCTTGTTCAAGAATCGGAGTGATCAATTCAAAAAAAATACTAATAATTTTTTCAATCTTTCCTATCCACGAAAATGTAGGTTAATTTTTTTAATCTTTATTACTTTTTGTAATATTGCCTTTGAAACACAAGTCACTTTCTACCTTTGAGTAAGGGAGGAAGGCAACTTCCAGTTCACTAATCTTCTCGGTTAAGTTCACTAATCTTCTCGGTGGGAGGTCTTGCTCCCTTTTGAAAGTCTTTTTCTCCCTTCTGAAGAACTGATATGGGAAACGCTTTAAAAACCGATAGCTTTCTTTTTAGTAATAAGCTTGTAATTTATTATGAAAATTATATTTGCTGATAATTCGTTCATTCTATATACATTTTATTTATTTAGTAGTAATAATAGCAGCAGATTCCCTTTCTTCACTTATGAGCCTGGAGGACCCACGTAAACACCTCAAACTTATAGAAGACACCAAAGCTATGTGGAGTAGCAACTATAATATAAATTGGAGTGTAAGAGAAATATATATATAGATAGATTAGCCACATGATGCTCAAAACGTGCTCTTGCGCGCCGATGCCTATCAATTGAAAATGAAAACTGTTGCCAACGCCAGAAAAGAAATATCATCGGTTTTATTGATACATACGTATTAGCGTTTTATGTAATATAGATAGATTATTTGCATAACTATAACTTGTAAGAAAAGTTTTTATTTTTTATTTTATTATTTGCAAAAATGTATTTATAATTTTTTTCGTTCAGAATATTTTTGCTAATTAAAAAGATGAAATCCAGTTTAGAAGTATCTGAGTTAACTCATCAAAATAAAGATACTAAAAAATAGAAATTTAAGTGCATGACTTATAAAAGATCCAACTTTTAACAAATTTATGTCTCGAGATGGAGAAGATTTAAATTATACTAATTTTTGAAGTTGCGAAATAAGAAGACTTAACAATTTTATTACCGTTAATTTCCCTGCTTTCTTCTATAGTTTATTGACAGTGTTTTAACTTCTGCCTTAAAAGAAGTTATTAAAAATTTCTTTACTTAGTGAACAAAAAATTCTAACGAGAAATTTTAAAATAATCCTAATTAAAAGTTATGACTATAATGAGAAAAGAAATACTGAGACGCATCTTAAGAGTTTTATGATTGTTAAATATCTGCTTACGTACTTGTTTAAAAAATAAAATGTGCTTTGATTGTAAAAATAATCAAGGTCAAATTACGGTATAAAAAACCGGCCCAAAGGCGCCATTTTTTTACCGTAATATCCAGTTTTACCCTAAAATGCATTTTTACTTTAGAGCATAACGGACCAAAAAAAATAGATAAAGTGTTATTTCTAAGGCTATATTTACTAAATCACCTTAATTAAATAAATCTTACTTTAAAAGTTAAGGTATAAAACTTTTCAATAAGAATGAATTTTACGGTTTACGGGGGGGTTACGAACACAACACTACCAGCACTTTTTACTGTAATTTGAACCGAAAGCTTTTAACAGTATTGAGCAGGGAAAGTAAAGTATAAGCAATTATAATAGGCAAATTTTTTCTTAACAAAAAAAATCAATGAATTTTAGTATTTTATTCTTATTTTTCGATTTGCGTATATAGTAATAAGTAGATTTGTTTTTAAGAAATTATCCCCTTAAAAATCATATATTCTAAAAAGGTTCAAGAAATATTGCAGTAATGCATGAACACGAAGTTTATTACCAAATTTATTAGATTAATTACTCAAATTTCAGGGTTTAAAAAATCTAATTTCTTGCTTTTTAATGTTCTTTTTTTACCTGCACACAAATATATATATATA